TATATATATATTCCAACTTTATTGTCATTTAGGGAGATGGAATTATCAAATTATGTGGGCCTGTTTCAATACGGACAGGGAAGATTGCCGCAGTTGGCGTCATTTAGTCTAGAGAGGTGTTAGGATCAAAACAGCTGCCCCTTTTGTAGGCAGTTAGAGTGAGAGGCCCAAGGTAAACCAAATATATATCCTGGTAGAAAAGTTAGCCAGCTCTGAGAGAGCTGAGGTTTGACAATAAACCAATCTGTGAGCTCAGAAACTAAAACCGAAATGTCCTAACTCATTAAGATAGCTGACCCCCATCATATATGCATATGTATGTATATGGATATGATGCAGATGTATATATATTATACTCTTGGTTGCATCCTCCTTTGGTGCTCCCTTTCTGCTGTGGAGAGCTTCCTTACCATGAACCTTGCTTACTGGTCTTCCACCGCCCCTGTCCTGCTTCATGACAAGGAACTGGGAAGCCACTGGCTCAGGGTGGCTGTGGTGACCATTGGGTTTTCTAGGACTGTTGTTCACTAAGATGGCTCTCACTAAGCCAAGACACACTCCATAACTCTCAAATAACCACACAACATTTTTGTTATATTTACATAAGTTTTTTTTTATTTATATCTATACTACTCTGTTTTTATTTCAAAGAAGCAACTTCTACTTAAAGATGTTCAGATAACAATCCTTGCTCTGTGAGTTCAAGGTCAGTCTGGTCTAGAGAGTGAGTTCTATGCCAGCTGGAGTTACAGGGAGACCCTCTCTCAAAAAGACAAAAAAAAATATGATAGCATGATGTTGAATTTGTTTTTTCAACCTACATATAAAAATCATGGTGATTCTTCTTTTTTTTTAACTTTTACAAAAACTTTATTGAGAATTTCATACATGCATATAAGGTGTTTTGATCAAATCCATGCCCTACTGTTCCCTGATAGTAGCTGGGAAGACCCTTTAGACAATAAGAGACGCTTTCTTATCCTATCTTGAGATATGACAGTCATTGTACTCTTTTGTGGAAGCAATGGGTGGTACTGACTAGGGTGCCATGGTTTTCATAGCTCCTTTTACTTACCTTTGATGTTTTCATCACATCTTCAAGCATTATAATTTTTTCATCTCCAGTGTCACACATCTGCCCCACACAATACTTAACAGGAAGCTTTACACATAGTAAGCACTAAAAAGTTTTGTTGAACAGATTGCCATCAGGAAACATAAATTACTGATAAATTGTTTTTCTAGTCTCTGTGTATA